TTCGGCCCCAATTTGGTGTATATTCTAAATTTTCAAATATTTCTCTCCACGCCCCTTTCTAAAACAAATGGAGGTCAGGGTTCTTCTCATGGCATGTAGGGACATTTATTGTGAGGAAACTAGCCCATTTAAAAATTTTATATTTTTCTGCCAAAATGCTGAACCACTCCGGCCCTTACCATTTCGGCCCCAATTTGGTGTATATTCTAAATTTTCAAATATTTCTCTCCACGCCCCTTTCTAAAACAAATGGAGGTCAGGGTTCTTCTCATGGCATGTAGGGACATTTATTGTGAGGAAACTAGCCCATTTAAAAATTTTATATTTTTTCGCCAAAATGCTGGACCACTCCGGCCCTTACCATTTCGGCCCCAATTTGGTGTATATTCTAAATTTACAATATTTCCCCTACGCCCCTTTCTAAAGCAAATGGAGGTCAGGGTTCTTCTCATGGCATGTAGGGACATTTATTGTGAGGAAACTAGCCCATTTAAAAAATTCATATTTTTTCACCAAAATGCTGAACCACTCCGGCCCTTACCATTTCGGCCCCAATTTGGTGTATATTCTAAATTTTCAAATATTTCTCTCCACGCCCCTTTCTAAAACAAATGGAGGTCAGGGTTCTTCTCATGGCATGTAGGGACATTTATTGTGAGGAAACTAGCCCATTTAAAAATTTTATATTTTTCCACCAAAATGCTGAACCACTCCGGCCCTTACCATTTCGGCCCCATTTTGGTGTATATTCTAAATTTACAATATTTGCCCCTACGCCCCTTTCTAAAGCAAATGGAGGTCAGGGTTCTTCTCATGGCATGTATGGACATTTATTGTGAGGAAACTAGCCCATTTAAAAAATTTATATTTTTTCGCCAAAATGCTGAACCACTCCGGCCCTTACCATTTCGGCCCCAATTTGGTGTATATTCTAAATTTACAATATTTGCCCCTACGCCCCTTTCTAAAGCAAATGGAGGTCAGGGTTCTTCTCATGGCATGTAGGGACATTTATTGTGAGGAAACTAGCCCATTTAAAAAATTATATTTTTTCACCAAAATGCTGAACCACTCCGGCCCTTACCATTTCGGCCCCAATTTGGTGTATATTCTAAATTTTCAAATATTTCTCTCCACGCCCCTTTCTAAAACAAATGGAGGTCAGGGTTCTTCTCATGGCATGTAGGGACATTTATTGTGAGGAAACTAGCCCATTTAAAAAATTTATATTTTTTCACCAAAATGCTGAACCACTCCGGCCCTTACCATTTCGGCCCCAATTTGGTGTATATTCTAAATTTTCAAATATTTCTCTCCACGCCCCTTTCTAAAACAAATGGAGGTCAGGGTTCTTCTCATGGCATGTAGGGACATTTATTGTGAGGAAACTAGCCCATTTAAAAATTTTATATTTTTCTGCCAAAATGCTGAACCACTCCGGCCCTTACCATTTCGGCCCCAATTTGGTGTATATTCTAAATTTTCAAATATTTCTCTCCACGCCCCTTTCTAATACAAATGGAGGTCAGGGTTCTTCTCATGGCATGTATGGACATTTATTGTGAGGAAACTAGCCCATTTAAAAATTTTATATTTTTTCGCCAAAATGCTGGACCACTCCGGCCCTTACCATTTCGGCCCCAATTTGGTGTATATTCTAAATTTACAATATTTGCCCCTACGCCCCTTTCTAAAGCAAATGGAGGTCAGGGTTCTTCTCATGGCATGTAGGGACATTTATTGTGAGGAAACTAGCCCATTTAAAAAATTTATATTTTTTCACCAAAATGCTGAACCACTCCGGCCCTTACCATTTCGGCCCCAATTTGGTGTATATTCTAAATTTTCAAATATTTCTCTCCACGCCCCTTTCTAAAACAAATGGAGGTCAGGGTTCTTCTCATGGCATGTAGGGACATTTATTGTGAGGAAACTAGCCCATTTAAAAATTTTATATTTTTCCGCCAAAATGCTGAACCACTCCGGCCCTTACCATTCGGCCCCAATTTGGTGTATATTCTAAATTTTCAAATATTTCTCTCCACGCCCCTTTCTAAAACAAATGGAGGTCAGGGTTCTTTTCATGGCATGTAGGGACATTTATTGTGAGGAAACTAGCCCATTTAAAAAATTTATATTTTTCCGCCAAAATGCTGAACCACTCCGGCCCTTACCATTTCGGCCCCAATTTGGTGTATATTCTAAATTTTCAAATATTTCTCTCCACGCCCCTTTCTAAAACAAATGGAGGTCAGGGTTCTTCTCATGGCATGTAGGGACATTTATTGTGAGGAAACTAGCCCATTTAAAAATTTTATATTTTTCCGCCAAAATGCTGAACCACTCCGGCCCTTACCATTTCGGCCCCAATTTGGTGTATATTCTAAATTTTCAATATTTCTCTCCACGCCCCTTTCTAAGACAAATGGAGGTCAGGGTTCTTCTCATGGCATGTAGGGACATTTATTGTGAGGAAACTAGCCCATTTAAAATTTTTATATTTTTCCGCCAAAATGCTGAACCACTCCGGCCACTGGCGTACCTATGGGGGGGCAGGGGGGGCAGAGTGCCCCCCCCTGACGGGCTCCAGGGGAAAGAAAAGAAGAAAAAAGAGAAAAAAGGAAGAAGAGAAATGGAAGAAAAAGGAAAAAGAAAAGGAAAGGAAAAAAATGGGGAAATTAAAAAAAAAAGACCATGGCCGTACGCACCAGAAAATGTAGTGTAGGCCTATACCAAATCCTTCAATTCTACTTTGGAAAATGCAAAAGTACCCTCATGACCAGTTCGGTCGCTCGAACTCCCTTCACTCCTTTTGCTTTTGAGATTTTTCGAAAACTTTTAACGCATCTTTCCCCCTCCCCCACCAGAAAAATATTACGCATACGGCCCTGAAAAATTAAGACAAATGAAAATAGGAAAATTTAAGTGATATAACAAATTCGAAACTCTTCACTGGCGCGAACTGCTTGCTAGCCTATTTTGTATTAAATGTTTTCACTTGCTCGTCCTTTGAAAAATGAAAAGGATTAGCATTGCCTAGAATACAATTGTGCCTGCCCCGACGGGCCCCGTCCTCCAACCATGGCAACAATAACACACAGTGTATGTACCAAATGTTACTAAAAGAGAGTAATTCATTTTTCTCGCTCGCTCGCTACACTTGCTCGCGAATAAAATGAATAGATATTGCTTTGAAAACAATTTCGGCCCGAAATTGCTGTTTATACTAAATTTACGCCCTTGTTTGTTTCTGCTGCTAAGTCTGATCCGGTCGTGGTGCCTGACATTGGTCGCATTTCCACCAACTCTTCATAATCCGAGAAGTTGGCATCTACTCCTAGAACAAACACCAACAGTTGAGATGTATCGGAGATGTCCGTACTTTCATCGAGTGCAAGAGAAAAATACTCAAAGTTTGCTGCTACATTTCAGAGTTGTTCCTTACTGTCATCGCCCATATCAACGATCCTACGGGTGACTGTTTGGCGGGACAAACTGACATCTTCAAACTTTTGTTTTTCCTTCGGACATAGTTCCTCAGCGCATGCCAACATGCACTCTTTCACAAATTCCCCATCTGAAAACGGCGAAACTAGAGAGCACAGCTTTTTCTTTGAGAATGGTTGGTTTCACAAATGACTCTTGCTGACGTTTCAGTCCGGTCACTAATTTGTCAAGTCTTTGTTTTCTAGCCTCACCCTGTATCTCTCCATAATTTGCTCGATGCAGCGTGTCATAATGTCTTGCAATGTTGTTTACCTTCATTACATTCACAATCTGGTGACAAATGAGGCAAAGTCGTTTGCCTTTCTCTTCTAGGAAGAAATATTTCAGAGACCAATCTGATTTGAAGTTTCTGCCTTCGTCAGAAACTTTCCTTTTCTTCGCAGGTCTCGAAGTCGATGCCAAATTAATCAAGAACACAGCAGTAAAGGGAAGTGGACTATCAAGTTTACAATTAAGATTCATGAGAAAATTCAATGACGGGAGAAAAGTGTTGTAAGTTTTAAGACAAGTATGGCACTTCAAACATATTTTTTGATTCACAACATTTGTATATTACAAACGTCCCTGCGTGCGGAAATAACAAACTGAAATTAACATGGCGAGTGATGTTAATGTCGTTAATGTAATGCACGTGTAATGAGAGAGAATTTGAGGAGTTTTGTATCAACCATGTATCACGAGTCAATATGTTCTGAATGATGAAAACAAATTATGGAAATAGAGATAGCTGTGTGTTAATGTTTTACCCTATTTCATTGCTGCTATGTGGGCTGCATTTCGTTAATGAGCTATTTTTATAATTACTTTTTCAATGCTCCGCGGGCCGCGGGTTGGCCACCCGTGTTTTAAATTTTCAAATTATTTTAATTTTTTCAAATATTTTTATTTTTTCCGCCAAAATGCTGAACCACTCCGGCCCCAATTTGGTGTATATTCTAAATTTTCCAATATTTGCCTCTACGCCCATTTCTAAAGCAAATGCATACATGCCAACTGTTCAGATTAAAGAGGAACATTCCTCTTTTTGGGAGAACATAATTATCATTTTAATGCAGGTGTTCCTCTTCCTGTACAAATTTGTCTGTAGTATTGAATAGGAGAGTTAGGATTGTTCCTCTTTTTTTTGAAAATAGCATAATTTGTACAGATTTCTGATTTTCAAATGTTGGCATGTATATGCAAATGGAGGTCAGGGTTCTTCTCATGGCATGTAGGGACATTTATTGTGAGGAAACTAGCCTATTCAAATATTTTAATTTTTTCGTCAGAATCCTGAACCACTTCGGCCCCAAATTGGTGTATATTCTATTGTGAGCACGAAAATTCGATAATAAACAGGTCCATAATACAGCAAGAATTAACAAAGGAAGAACCTTCCAATTGCCCCAAAAGGCATCCTGGCGCTGCATGTTAATGTTGCCACATCCACTGCTATAGCAACCATCCCTTTATATTATAACTCACAAGGTCTTTTTGACTCCTCATGAATCCTACCTTTTTTCTTTTCTTTAAACCTAGATCCATGATGCATACATTGAGTTAGCTGAACTTTTCATCAAGACGGAGCCCCTCCAAGCCGTGGATGTGTACGCCCGCTATCCCTTCTCAGACGAAGAGTCTTATGATGATGCTTTTCTCCATGGGGAGATCCTCCGTCTCTTGATGAAACATGAAAAGTTTGATGACACCAGACTGGAGAAGCACATGATTGCATACGGCAGAATACTTGGCAAAGGTAAAATCAACTGGACTCGGATGTCAAATTGTTTTTCAACTGGTCCCAGTTGGGGGTGTTTCAATTTCCATATAAAAAACCAGTTGAATATACTGGTTTCAACTGGTAACAGTTGACACAGATCCCAGTTAAACAGGTATTCTACCAGTTGAGACCAGAAATCTACTGGTCGAGGAAGCAAATGGTATTCTAATTGTCCGACTTCAAACTCGTATTTCTACTGGTTTCCAAATTGAATCAACTGGTCTCAACTGGTACCAACTAGAATTTTAAGATCTTAAGGGACATAAAAAAGATTGTTATTGCACAGTTGTTACCGAGATCACTTATGAAGAATTTTAGTGAAATTATTCATATTTTAACTCTTAAGCTGCCCCCATGCAATTCACCCAGTGCCACAGTGCTAATCCCTATTGCATGTGCCCGCTACTAATCTCCTGTGTGCCAAGTTAATTTAGGGTTGGTTCAAGTGCGTGTAGTTTAAATTGTTAGTATGTTTGATCCACTATAACATCTCATCTGTATATTGTATAAAAAAGAATTGTACGTTAAAGTTGTAGGAAATTTAACCCTCTTTCTGTTGATACCAATATCATTTCATGAATCTGTAATTTTGGTAAAGTAAATAAGCACTATCAGTGAGTTGTCAAACCAATCCGTTGTCTCATTTCCCGCACACAATCTGAGGGGCCATGATCAAAACTGACAAATTTGATGATGGAAAATCCAATGTAACGGTATATGTGAAGCACGCAAAATCAAAACAACAATAAACCCCCTCCACAAATACAGTAAGCATTCATGCGTGCACGCAATGCGCATCGCACAATAGGCATAAACAATTAGTGTCCGTGGCACGCGAGCGGATGAGAGTTTATGTGTGCATGGCAAGTCAACAGATACCCGATTATGTGTGCGTGGCACGCCAGCGCATGCACAGAACAGTGTTCTTGGCACGATAAGAGTTAATAAGCCTTTACCTTATTGGTTGTGCAAATTAGAATTAATCGCTTAAAGGAAACCTAAACCCAAAGAATAAGTGTAGGTATTCTGAAAAATGAGATGTATTCCTGCCCTTTGATGTACAATATTCCTTACAAAATTGAAGATGTTCCTGGGCGCAGCCATTTTCTTGAAAATGTGACGTACCTGTTGAAGTTGTACATGTATCATGCAACAAGCTTTAGTTGGAAAGAATTTTTAAATCAATAACGAAACCTTTACTTTTCATTGAAAAAAAATAACTGAGATGATAGAAATTATATTAGGTGAATAACAGGGGCACAATTGTAACAAAATTCTTTTATAAATACTACACTATAGCAGTTGACAAATCTACTTCATTTATGAGAAACCTTCACCCCAGAAGAGCACCAACTTATTCATGCAATTTGCGTTACGGCAATTATAGTACAAAGGATAATAGCAGGTGAATGAAATGCTTCATCACCACACCTAAATTTGAATACATTTACTTGATAACTACTTCGCATAGTACGTCACATTATCAAGAAAATGGCGATGCCCATGTCGTGCTGAGAAACTGTACTGTACTGTTTTGGTGGGGAATCTTGTAGATTTATGGGCAATAATATATTAAATCTTTCAGAATAAGTAAAGTCTGGGGTTTCTCACATTTCTTTCACCCTATTCAGGATGCATTGAGAAGTATGTGCAGATCTTGGAGGCTAAGTTCAAGAATGAGCTGCTGATGAACGTCTATGCTGCCGTCAACCACAAAGCAGTGGATGATCCTGATATGCAGGCTTTCTTTAAATTTAAGATGTGGCTCTAATGGATTTAGAATTTAGACTTTACAATAAAAAAGAATGAAAAGCTGTGAGCTTTCAAATTCCCCCTTAAATTTCAGCAACTACAGTGATATTTGAAACTTATTGTGCCCCATGTGAAGATTCAATATTTGAAAGAAATGTCTTGCAACTTCTTTTAAAGCAAGATAACTACGGTACTGAATAGATTTTAACCAAACTTGGCTAAAATGAAGAGCTCGGTTTCAGACGGTACGGAATCCATAAATCCAAGTTTAATTTGTTACTTTAGCTGATTAATATATTTTTTTTTTTGTGTGGATGTAGTACCTTTTGGAACCAAAATATTGCATAATGTATGCAAGTATGACTTGAATGGATGTAGTACCGAACTGATTTTTTAGTGCCATTTAAAAAATTCAAAAATGGATGAGGATGAAGTGGTTAGATTTTGAGTGTGAAAGATTACAAACATGTAAACAAACAAAATAAATCTAGTAAATAATAATTTATAATATAGGATATTTATATAGCGCACGTATACACTATGTGAGATTAATAAGTGGGAAGACTGCATGAAGCTTGTTCATTATTTGATGATCCGTCCATAGAAACTTTAAACTTTACGTGTATATTTTTGTGTGCCTTGCTGTGGGTTTTATTAACAGATGTCTACAGAGTTTTATTTTGAATAAATTGATGTTTTAAAGTTAATTGTAGTTTGTTGGTTTTTATGCCTCCGTTTTGGGGTTAATTGTCAGTCCATTCACATGATCTCTGACAAACTTGGGTCATGTTCGTATCTTGCATTTTTTACATATGATTTAAATTGTACTTTTAAATTGTGTATGGATGATCTTGTTTGTGTGTCACAATGTTGCACATTTTCGCTCAAATTGGGGTTGAACTTAGTTGTATTCAAACTGCATTGCTAGGCATGCACCTTTTGTATGTGTACTAGCTGGACAGTGGTGGTTAGTGCATCTTTAATAAGTCTGCAGCCAGCTATTGATTTTTTTAGCTATTTTTTTTAAAATGGAATATTATCATTTGATTAATTTGTTGTACAATATACAATTACAATAAAATATTTCTATCCTATTTTTCTGCTGCCATGCAGATGTAAAAGATAAATAAAATGCATACACATTTTTATTTCAGTTTAAAATGCACATATACCCGTTGTAAACAAATTCATCACAATTATAATTGATAATTGACACATATTTGAAAAGCTTAGATCCTCTTTCATTTGATGCAACTCATAATAATGCATATTTCACGCATGAGTGATTAAAATCAATTTGAAGAGAGGAAAACAAAAAGTCATTTGGCGGACGATATCTGACACCTCAATCAGGAAAAATGAGCTAGGAATAACAAAGTTCTGTTGGTTTATAGTAGTGCTTGCACTTCCATAATTTGATTAAACAAATTTGTTTTCACTGGCTGCCTGCCATATCAACAAACAAAATTAACAAAAGACTTAACTCCGTTTTGTTGACAATCAGCCGTAGACGAAAGACTTCATGCATGGCTAATTTTTAATGAAACGGAGTTGAGTCTTTTGTCAATTCTGATTTTTGCTACGGCAGGCAGCCCGTGGAAACGAATTTGTTTGCTAAAATTATGATTGATTTTAATCACTCATGCGTGAAATATGCATCATAATGAGTTGCATCAAATGAAAGAGGAGGATTCCAAATATGATTAAGTTGTGATAAAACTTCGATAATTCTCAGTTTCGTTTTTTCTGGGACGCACTGTATAGAAGAGAAAATATACTCGTCTAAAAAAATACATGTCGTCTTGGCGACATATATTATCTTACCAAGTCGACTACCCAAAAAGTAATGTCGACATGGCGAAATAAATTATCTTGCCATGTCGTCATGGCGACATAAGTTATCTTACATGCACCATCAATGGTGATCGTGAGGCGATCGAGGGACCGGGATCAGGACTAAAGTCACTAGACCTAGACTAGTCGACTGTGAATGAACTACACGTACGCGCGCTGCATGAAATAGTCGTCACACTACATATCTCGCCATGACGACATATACTTTTTGGGAAGTCGACTTGGTGAGATAATTTATGTCGCTATTACGAGATGAACTTTTTTGTGAAGTCGACTTGGCAAGATAATACATGTCGCCATGACGACATGAACTTTTTGTGAAGTCGACTTGGCAAGATAATTTATTTCGCCATGTCGACTAATAAAAGTTGATAAGTCGACATGGTAGGTTAAATATCTTTACATGTCAACATGATATGGACATTAAGTCGACTTGACAAGATGAAATATCTCGTCATGTCGTCAAGTAGAATGGCACTTTAACGCTTCCGTAAGAAGTAGTTGATCTGGCTGGTTATAAAATATTACATAAAAATTGAAAGTTATGAAAACATTGCAATGTTAAACTGTGGTCCAATGGATTAGCATGAAACCATGAAAACGATTTGTTCAATTTCCCTTTATTTACAGGGTTTTTATGTAATTAAACCCTGGTCAATATTAATATAAAAAACATGTAGAGCAATATTTATTCCCCGGCCCCCCCACTCAGTGTTATTTAGGGTACGCATATGCTTGTTTCCTCTTTTTGAAAGCACCCCCTATCTGAGGACTGCCAACATTTCCGAACCCCCCCCCCCCTTTCGCGGGCTTTTCCTGCCTTGGAGACCCCCCTAAATCATGAAAAATGGTCAATGTACCCCCCTTAATTTGGAATAATTTCTTAGGAGTGCAAAGAGATGAGAGAGAAAAAGAAAAAAAACACCCCCTTTTTAAAGAAATATCCGGGTGAAAAGTCAAATACACCCCTTTTTTTTACAATTCTTGGGCCGGACTTTGTCGCACGAAAAGTACCCCTTTACCGGACATTTTGGCAACACGCATGCGGTCATTTCGAACCCTGAGTGGGGGGGGGCGGGATTTATTCCTTCAAACATTAACATTTAATGTGTTCTAAAAACATGATATTTTCACATACCCACAATACTGTCAGCTCTCCTCACATCTTTCAGGAACTTGAGGCCTGCTAATTCCTCTGGGGATTTAAAGGCCGAGAGGCCGTGGCACTCTTTTTTTCTGTTTGCCTTCCTTAGCACAGACTCGTTGGTATAGTAACCTCTTCCTGGTAACGTCTAGCCAGAAATACATTTATAGAAATAACAAAATTAATTTGTTCATTATATGTATATATATATTTATAGAGAGAAAATTATATATCAATGGAAAGATTACTTTACCATAACATTCATTTAAAGATACACACAATTACATCATAAGCTATACATATAGGTTAAAGGCTTTGAAGCGGTCTTCTGGGGGGGCAGTCTTCTTTGGAGCGATTGATTTCTTTGGGGCCGTCTTTTGGGGGGGCAGTCTTCTTTGGAGCGAATGATTTCTGGGGAGGCGGTATTCTTGCGGCAATCGTCTTCTTTGGAGCGATTGATTTCTTTGGGGTTGTCTTCTGGGGGGCGATTGATTTCTGAGGGGCAGTCTTCTTGGGGGCAGTTGTCTTCATTGGAGCGATTGATTTCTGGGGGGGGCAGTCTTCTTGGGCGCAGTCGTCTTCTTTGGGGCAGTCTTCTGGGGGGCAGTCGTCTTTTTTGGAGCAGTCGTTTTCTTTGGGGCGGTCGTCTTCTTTGAAGCGATCTTTTGGGGGGCAGTCGTCTGCTTTGTGGCGGTCTTCTTGGGGGCAGTCGTCTTCTGCGGGGCAGTCATCTTCTTCGGGGAGGTCTTCTTGGGGGCAGTCGTCTTCTTTGGGCGGTCTTCTCGGGGGCAATCTTCTTTGGGGCGGTCTTCTTGGGGGCAGTCGTCTTCTTCTTTGGAGCGATTGATTTTTAGGGGGCAGTCGTCCTCTTTGGAGCGGTCTTCTGGGGGCAGTCGTCTTATTTGGGGCAGTCATCTAGTTTACAAGTTTCAGATAGGGCGTGTCATGTGACTAAGAAGCATGAAATGTTTATGACTCTGGGTAGCAAAAGGTAATTCAGTCATATTGATTACTGATACACATAAGCAAAGCAACATTTGGAGATGACAAGCAGAAATAAACAAATTATTTCAGAAAAATCGTTCAACTTTGTTATGTGCAGATTTTAGTCCAACACTTGTTTAAACGTTTTTGTTTACACCAAGTAGAATATGGGACACATACCATCTTTCTCTAGAATTAAAGCAGGATACCACTTCTTGCTTGCAGAGTGGTACGCCTCAAAACACCCTGCTCCTCTAAACTATCTTCTTTGTAGCTGATCAAGGCATACTTTATTGTTTCTGGAAGGAGATTAAAAAAAGAAAGTAAAATACCTGGATGCTTATTTATATACAGCTTATCAGCAGAATCATGTTTTATAATTCGGCTGCATGGTTCTCAAGGTAAATGTTTTTTCAATTATTTTTCTTCCGATATTCAGTATTTAGATGGAATACTAAATACACTAAACATTCAAGTTATGTTATTCTATTGCAATTATCTGTATCTTCTGTAAAGAGCATATATAGTCAAGTATCTGTGATAATCAAAGCATTATAATGGACGTTGCCCATATCAGAGCAGGCATTTAGAAGGAAGGAAACCCCAGTACAAGTGATGACCTGCCCGCTCAATTACCAGGCAAGTAAAAGCCAAGAAGTAATTTTTATGCCAACAAAGTAGCAGCAGGAGGTTTCACTTTCAACACTTTTCACATCTCAAGAACCCATTGACGGATTGCCATCAAACTTTGTACATGTACTTATGAATCAATTCGGATAATTTTAAAAATTGCTTCTGTTTTGGTTTGTAAAATCGCTCTATGGCAAAGGCATCATTTTTCGACTATGCGAAGGTTAATTAGGGATATCTGCTTGGCAATTGGAAATCCTTGGTTAATTCTAGAGTATTTTATACTTTGGGCCTTTATACCTCTCTCTCTTTCTCTCTCATGCAGAGCAAGGAAAAAGTTGGATAGTGTAGGAAATTGAACCGGAGCATTTTTTAAAGGAGCCACTACGAGACGAAAGTGATTTTCCTCACATATAAGGATGTCATGCTCTTATAAATAAATCTCTTCAATTATCAATACATGCAATTTGATAATGAATCTAGACCAATCAAAAATATCTTCAGCTTTAAAGGTAATCTCACCCCAATCGCGATTGAGATTCCCCACCAAAGTATATGCGAGAGGTATAATGCAAGAATAATACAGTATCTCAACACGAAATGAGCATTGCCATTTTCTTGATTAATAAAGGGACCTACTATGCAAAGTCATTTATCAGGTAAATGTATTCAAATTATTTTATGGATTCTCGCCTGGTACGTCATATTGTCAAGATAATGGCTGCGCCCATGTGATACTTCCCCTCAAAACAATCATAAAAATCCTCTTATCTTGTCCGATTTCGTTCATCATGCCAATAGGCAGGCATGAACACATCTCATTGTTCAGAACACCTACACTTATTCTTTGGGTCAGGGTTTCGTTTTTGCCGGAATTACTCCGTTTTTCCTGCAAACATCTTGCAGAGCCAATGAATTGATCAGATTTGGGGCATAAATTGCTGGTGATCTTTTCATTAGAACCGATGGACAGATTACCATCAAACTGATTAGATTTTAGGAGTCATGAGGTCATGAGAACCTGTAAATGGATTAGAATTGAATTGAATTTTAAAATTTGCTTATTTGGTTGGTGAAATTGATCTATTTAGCGAC